GTATAGGTTTCACATGAGCACAGTTAAGTGTCTGTATTTCTCATTCTTCTCAATGTTAGCCATAATTTGTCATGATCCGCACTCTAAGATGCCTTTGCATAGTCAATAAAACACAAATGGACATTCTTCTGATATTCTTTACTTTCAGTCAGGATCTGTCTGACATTAGCGATGGTATCCCTGGTGCCACAGCCTCTTCTCAATCCAGTTCAAACTTCTGTCATTTCTCTGTGAACTGTTCTTGCCATTTCTAAAATGATCTTTAGAAGTATTTTGCCATACTGATGATATTGTTTGATAATTTCCACATTTTGTTGTATCACTTTTTAAGGAATGGAAACAAATATGGATATAGTCCAGTCAGTTGGATAGGCAGCTGTCCTCTATATTTCCTGGCATACTGATGGGCATGTCCAGATTGCATCTGTTAGTTGAAACATGTCATTTGACAGCCCGTCAATTCCTAGGATCTTATTTTACAGCAGTGCCTTAGTGCAGCTTGAACTTCTTCCTTCATTTCCATTACTTCTTGATCATATAGTTCCTCCTGAAATAGGTTAATGTCAGCCAAGTCTTTTTGGCTTAGTGACTCTGTATTCCTGACATCTTCTTCTGATGCTTCCTGGATTATTCTAGATTTTGTTAACTAGATGGATGGTGAAGAGATTGAGATTGTTCGCAGCTTTAGTCTGCTTGGCTTCACAATCAACACTCTAGGCACCAGCAGCCAGGAAATTAAAAGACGTATTGTGATGGGGAAGTCTGCTGTTAGGGACGTCTCCAAAGTATTGAAGAGCAATGGTGTCACCCTGGAGACCAAGATGCATCTGACACAGGCAATGGTCTTTGCTATCACTTGTTATGCATCAGAGAGCTGGACAATGACCAGGGTGGATAGAAGGAGAATTGATGCTTTTGAACTTTGGTGTTGGAGAAGAGTGCTGAGGCTACCATGGACTGCTAAGAAAACAAACAGATTTCATCTTGGAGAGGTTTAAATCAGGCTGCTCCTTGGTGGCAAGGATTCTGAGACTTCATCTGACATAGTTTGGTCATGTTGTAAGGAGAGACCGGTCCTTGGAGAAGGACATCATGCTTGGGAGGATGGAGGGCAGGCGCAGAAGAAGAAGGCCTTCTGTGAGGTGGATTGATTCAGTGACTGGTGTAATTGGCACGAGTGTGTCAGAGACAATGAGATTGGCACAGGACAGAACAGAGTTTAGGGCTGATGTACATAGGGTCATTATGAGTCGCAAGCAACTCGACAGCGCATAACAACATTAACAACAAACAACTCGAAGGCACATAACAACAATAACAACAAAGGATCTTAAATTAACATACATTAGCTTTACAAAGGTAATACTTTGGGCATATAGCTTTTACTTAGTACTCTATAAACACTTGTTTCATTATTCTTTGTGATTGATTTTTTAAAATTATTATAAGTAACTGTGAAGTATCAGCTATGCCAACGTATATGCCACAACATACCCTGTTCTATCTCCCACACACTGTGCTTTCATTAGATAAGCATTTTACATAATTTAAGCATTAGACACATTGGCTTTTGGTTGTTGGTTTTTTTTAATTATATAAAGTATTTTCTTGGAAGCAGAAGCGGCATCCACTTCTGTAACATCTTGCCTCCGGAAACCCTGTGAACCTGGAGAGAGGATGAAAGGCACCCAGGCATCGAGGATGCTCTTTCATAGGGTCACTATGAGTTGCCTGTGGCTCCAGGGCACTTAACAACAACAACAACAAAAAAGTATTTTCAAAGAATAGACTTAATTGTTGTCTCCATTGAAAGCCTTTCTTTGAACTGTTACTGGCAAATTAGAATGCCTCTTTCAGAAAGGCCTGGTGATCTGCTTCTGTAGGAAAGAGAGACAAGAAAAGCCTTTGAAAAAAAAAAAAAAAAAAAAAAAAAAAAGAAAGGCCTTTGGAACAGTTCCACTCAGTGACACCTGGACTCACCGTGAGTCAGAATTGACGCCACATCAACAAGTTTGGTTTTTGGTTTAGACAAGGTAAAATGACAGAGGAGAAAGTTAAGCAAATGAAAAGCAGTTTCATCAATGTGCCTTTAAAAATCAGCCAGATTGTGCTGCTTTAATAAGCATAAAAACTAAAAGCAAGAAGTTTCTTTTTTGTGCAGACCACATGTCCGTTGTAGGTTTACAGGAATGTTCTTCGTTCACTCAGACTCAGTTTAAGGGAGAGTCTGTCCTGACACATATATCTATGATTTAAGAGCCAGGACAAAACCCCCGATAAATCATTTGATACTCTAAAATCTTATACCAGCAATCCTCATTTTTACCACTCTTGAATTTATTGTGCTTTTCAGATAATTGTGTTTTTTACACATGGGATGTTTGTGGCAACTTTGAATCAAACAAATCTGTTGGAGTCATTTTTCTAGCAGTGTTTGCTTACTTCATGACTTTTTGGTAACATTTAATACTTCTCACAATATTTCATACATTTTCATGATGCTATTACATATTTATCAGACTACAGTGTAGTATAAACAAAGCTTTTGCATATATTAGAAAACTTAAAAATTCATGTGCCTCTTCATTGCCATGTTTCTCACCCATAGTTTCTCTAAATGATGTTTGTGCATGGAAACGGCCCATTTTGCTTTGGAATGATATGGCCATACCTAAATTTCGTGAGGTAGAAGGTTTTCCTACGGGGAGTACTGGATAATTGTGACCAGTAATTCATGTTTTTTTGTACCACAGAGTTGGAACCAACTTATAGCTGACCCTGCAGCGGGTTTTCAGAGACAGTTAATAGCACAGGAAGAGGTTGCATATCCTTCTCCCACGGAGCAGTTGGTGGTCTCATACCGCGTGCCTTCAGGATTGCAGTGCAGCTTCTTGCCACTAGACCACGAGAGCTCCATCCTTCTCTAAACAAGTGAGCATTTGGAAACTATTGATAATCACTAAAGTAAGAATATCTAGTTTAAAATAGACTCTGTCCTGTACAGTCTATAGGGGGTAGTGTTGAGTTGGTGGCAGTTTTGGTTTTTTTGGTTTTTTTAGGAGGAAGACTGAGCTGTTTTCAACAAAACCTGATTTGGTTTAGAGTGCATATCGATAGTGTGGATAGTGTGTTGGATACGTTCATATCCCCGACACAACAGCTCTTTATAGTCTGAGTGAGGCAATAATTATTTTACAGTAACATTAATACTAGTGGGATATTGCTATTGTTCAACATGCAGTGTGAACACTTTACAGTTTTGCAGGCTGACTTTGAAATTTAGTTATATTTAGTGGCCGTGTTACTGTTTCGCAGGATTTTAAACTTTTAAATTGATTTCTTTTAGTGTATCAGGGATGAGGTAGGGCACCAAGTACAAACCCACCAGATGGCGCATAGGAGATCGATTTACTTACTCTCTTGTTTTACTGCCTTGGAAAACCTGCCTGCGTGTCAGCTATGCGTCAGTTCCAACTTGATGGCACAAAACAACAACAAAGTATCCCATGGGAGGATATGGGCCACCTTTTCCACTGAATTCAAACCCCAGAGTGGCGCCACCTTTGGGTTAGCATCGAAACTATGTGTAGATTGCACGCCCAGAGCTCCTGATGTTAAAAGGGGAGGCCAATTTTAATTGGAAGCTTAAATATGAAATTTTATACAATATTAAGAGAAACAAACCCCCGGATTTATGGTTGTCAACTCAGTTCTGACTCATAGCAATCCTCCGTCAGGTTTCTGAGGCTGTGGAATAACTGGGTCGTACGGTACTACCACTCTGAAAGGCAGTTTGGTGCTTCCTCAAAAAAGCTGAACATAGAAATTCCATATGTAATATCTTTTGTGAAATAGCTTATGAAATCTGGTGTTTAAATATTTTTAAAAAAACTTACATGTTTGCTTGGCTCCATAGTCAACAGTCTTGGCACCAGCAGCTAGGAATTTAAAAGGCGCATTGCCATGGGAAAGTCTGCTGTTAGGGACCTCTCCAAAGTACTGAAGAGCAATGGTGTCTCCCTGGAGACTAAGGTGCGTCTGATGCAGGCCATGGTCTTCCCAATCACTTGTTATGCATCAGAGAGTTGGACAATGACCAGGGAGGATAGAAGGAGAATTGATGCCTTTGAGATGTGGTGCTGGAGAAGAGTATTGAGAATACCATGGACTGCTAGGAAAACAAACAGATTTGTCCTGGAAAGGGTTAAACCGGGTGGCTCCTTGGAGGCAAGGATTCTGAGGCTCCGGTCTAACATACTGTGGACATGTTGTGAGGAGAGACCGGTCCTTAGAGAGGGACATCATGCTTGGGAGGGTGGAGGGATGGCGCAGGAGAGGAAGGCCCTCTATGAGGTGGATTGATTCAGTGACTGGGATAATTGGGATGGGAGTGTCGGAGACAGTGCGAATGGCACAGGACAGAGCAGAGTTTAGGGCTGTTGTACATAGCGTCGCTATGAGTCGCAGGCGACTCAACGGCACATAACAACAACAACATATATGAATTACATGTGTGAATTATTTATTGTTAATATTTTTATTTATTTTAATGGAAGTTTTCAGAGACTTTAGGTTTCCATTAATTCATTGTTGCACACTTTCCTTCCTGACCACCCCTCCTCCCATTTCGCTTTTCTCTTTGAAAAGTAAAAAAAAAAAAAAAAAAAAATAAAAAAAAATATATATATTTCATTGTAATTCAATCCCTCACCCAGTCCACTCCACTATACAGCTTTCATTCTGGAGTTTTGTGATGACAGTAATACCTAATTATGTATTCCCTCCTAAACAGTTCTCTCTCTCATCTGTTTCAATGCTGTATACATTATTTATCCCCCTCTTGGTTTTGCCCCAACTCTGATGTCAGTCCTGCTTTACAACATTGGCACTGTGCAGTATATTAACATTTTTCTTGCTAACTGTATTTTTTTTTTTTAGGTATTTTTGATTTATCCAAAATCTTTTGTGAAACTTCCCATAAACTGAAAAGTGTAGAAGCCTTTGCTCTGGCTGCAAAACACTATTCTCTACAAAACTTGGGAATATGTACTCCTTTTGAAGATTTACTTGTAGCCCTTCAAGGAAATCAGAAACAGAGAACAGGTATGTACATATATATGTGTTTTGTGTTTTTGTGTACTTAGAAGCTATAAGTTATTATTTTTTTTAATTTCCAACAAATTTTTCATTCATTGTTAGACATTTTATCATGAACTCCCATATGCTAACTTAATTATAGATTTCTAGATCTTTCCTTTTACACGCCATATTTTGGACATATTGTTAAGAAGGGCCAGTCCTTGGAAAAGGACACCAAGTTTGGAAAGTAAAGGTTCAACGAAGGAGGCAAAGACCCTCAATGAGATGAATTCATTGATACAGTGACTATCATGATGGACTCAAGTGTGTCAGAGATTGTGCTTAGAGCAAGCACAATATGGGAACGGTAGTGTCCAACCTCTGTTAACTCCACAAAACGGCACTAGCCTCATCATCATCCACAGTATAAACCCATCCATATAAGGTCAGACATGGCTATCTAATCAGCTGCAACTTCTATTAATTACCGAGTCAGAAATTCATTGCAAATGACCACACAGATTTTAAAGAATTCTTTTTAATTTACACAGGTATGAGGTTTGTTATAGAAACAGATTTGGAGGGGAGGAAGGCAAAGGCTATTATACAGTGAAAAAAGTCCAGGTTTAGTAAATAGAAGTCCCAGGCCAGGGTGACAGCAAGACACAATCCCTCAATTTATCCAGGTGGCTTCTTAGTCAACGGCAAGATACCACTGACACAGGGAACTTTGGCCTTTGAAAGAAACGTGGCTTTCTCTTCTTCTTCTTTCCTAGGGTTGAGGCTCTAGTTTCAAGGGCTCTGGCCTTGGCTCATCTGGCTACACGTTGGCACAGTTACTCCTCAGTATGATAAACTTCCTGTCTCATGTTGATCTCACAGCTGTTGATAATGTTGAAGGTGCTGATCCATAGTTGAGGCTACAGGAGACCATGCCCCCAGAGGATCTAAGGGTGGCAGTTAGATCCTCAGAAATTCATTTTACTTACATATTCCCACCTGGCTGTGTGGTCAGGTCTAAGCAATTGTTAGAAAAGTCATTCTTAAGAAGAAGACCCCAGCAAATTCCTGTGGGTAAAGCTGGATCTGAGTTCCAAAGAACTGCTTGGCCACCTTGAAGTCCCTTTACACACGTGGATGGGAATGAACTGCATTCCTGAACCTGAAGAGGTTTGTCTTTGAGAAGTAGGCAGTTATGACCCAATGGCAAAGGCATGGTACGTGCTTTTGGATCAGGAATTGAACACATTGCTGAGTCTGAGGACACCAGGAACAGACTTAGAAGCACAGAACATTTGGAAAAATTATTGTCTGAGAGTCATGGTTCCAAACTGCTCTTAATTAAGATTCTGTAGTGTTATGAGAATGAAGATCAAGTGACAATTACAATGCATGCAGCAAGCGTTAACAGTTTTAGTAGTTCAGTCATAACCTTACTGTTGAAAAGTTGTTTGCTAAATTGGGTATTGTTGTTAGTGGCCATTGAGTTGAGGATGACTCAAATTGTGTGTTACAGTAATAAAAATTAATGCTTAAGTAAAAAAAAAAACCAAACAAAACAAACAAACAAAAACTGACACCACAGAGATGCTGAGGATGATAGAGGAAAAGGTAAGGTTCAGATCCATTGTTCATAGGATTTCTATGTGCAAATGTCAACTCAGTGACACTCAACAACATTTTCCCCTTCATTGGCTTTTGGTAACCTTTACTTCAGGTTGTCCCTATCCTCAAAACCAGATTGCCTTGGTCACTATAGATGTTGATTCTTGCACTCAGTTTTTCCTAAGTGGGCCCTGTGGCGAGGGACGAATGCTCTTCACACCATTTCTTTAGTAGAAGAACGAAACAAGTGGAGGAAGCTGCTTATTGATATGGTGACATAGATGATTAATAGGAAATGGGAATGATACTATAAGAAATAAATAGCAGTGGTCCTGGGGATGATACCAATAAAAGCCAAATTCAACATGGTAGATAAACCATGTCAATGATTCTATTGAGCATAACCAGAATACAGAGTGAAAGTGCCTTCAGCTATGTCTTTATCATTCCCATGGGATCCAAATATAGTTACACCCATATAATTACAGTCTGTTCCGTGTAGTTTTTTATTATCAAAATGTTTTGTTGAGGAAGTTAAAATCAGTCCTGGGTACCCTCAGAATGTTCAGAAGAACACAGGCCTGGTAACGCTGAAGAATAAACCTTGCTTAAATGGATCAAATTCACATTAAGTGCTGACTGTTAACTTTCAGAATGACTGACAGTGGTTGTCTGCTTTTTTCTCTGTATTTAAATCTAGGAACGTGACTCATTGAGCCATTTCTTCTCCTTGAAGGAGAGATACAATTCAGGACCTTCAGAAAGGCAGCATTTCCAAAAAGCTCTCATCCTTTGACACCTAACACACTTGACGAAGAACTAGCAATTTATCCCAGTGGCTAATGACTGACAATAATTGAATGAACTTTCATATTGATGATATCATTCTCATTCATGATGTACTTTGCCATAATGCAGACTAGGTCTTCCTTTTCCATCAGTGTAGAGCATGCAGTGACGGCAATATGAAATCAAGATTGACAGAAAGATTGTACTTCTCTTAGAAATAAACATCAAGACTACTATATAAAATATAAATGGACAGTGTGCTATACGTGGTATCAGGAAGAGAGACCATGTGCCACCAATATATTACCAAAAAGGGGACTGAATAACCACACTTCTACTTAGAAAAATAATGTAATGATACAGTGATTAAACCTGTACTCAGAACTTCTCTAATGAGAACATTGCATGCCATAATGACCATCCATGCTCTGCTCTGCAACCCACCACTTTCCATCCCTTTTGCCTTGGTCTTCTACTCTGGCATAGCCTGATCCTATGGTCTTTTCACTCTCGGGACTAGGAATAAAGTACTTAAGGTTGGTCAGGAGAAATGAGTCTAGCAAGTTCTGGATAACAACTTTGCCTGTGAAGGAGAAGTTTGTTTATGGTGAAGCTGACACCTTAGATACCAAGTCACTCCTTAATTCCAAATAATATAAGCACTGGTGGCTTAGTGGTTAGAGAGTTGTGGTGCCAGCCCACAAATGGGTGGTTCAAACCCCCAGCTGCTCCAAAGGAGAGAAAGAGAGTCCATCTCCTAACAAGCTATTTAGAGCCTCTGTGGAAAACCTTTGAAAAGTCAGCTGTGAGTCACTTCTGACGTAAGAGCAGTGAAAGTCCGAATGAATGACTTTTCTGTTGTCCAGGTCCCCTCTCTAAATGCCATTGCATTTCTGGAGAAAAGATCACCCACCCAAGACTCTAGACTCTCCTTGCCATCCCTCTAGTTCCCTCTCAGCTTTGTTTTATAGTGTTTTTGTGTCCTACCTTTGTGATTTTCTGTCACTAAATAGCTATTTAGGAGTAGTACAGGAGGAGAATCATTCTTTGGTAGTCAAAATAATGGCTCTTCAAGGAAGCTGTTTTTTATATATATGTAACATGGCAAGGAGAATTAAGCTTATTAACGGAATTCAAATTGTTAATTGTCTAACTTTAAAATAAGGAGATAGATTGTCCTTGGATAACTTAGATATATCCAGTGTGATTATTTAGACATAATCACAGAATGCCTGAAAGATGGAAGAAAGAACAGGCAGAGTCATAGTTAAGTGACATAAGATTTTCCAACCACTGTTAGCTTTGAAGGTGGAAGAGACGACCATGAGGCATAGAATGAGAGCAATGTCTAGAAGGTACACAGGAATGTCTAGGAGGCAAAAAAGCAGATTCATTCCTGAAACTTCCAAAATAATAACCTTCACTCTCACACATTATGTTAGACATTAGGAACCATTTTGACCTGCTTACTTCCAGAACCATAAGTTTGTTGTTTTCAGTCACAAATCTTAAGGAAATATATTACAGCTTTGCAATAATTCATGTTCATAAACATGAAGATAAGTATGAAAAGGTCCATCTGAAGAGAAAGGTTGTTGTGTGGCTGTAGAATCAAAACCCACCCATAGCTGATCCTCCAGCAGGTTTTCAAGGACAGTAAATCCCACAGGAGGAGACTGCCCATCATTTTCCCACAGGGCAGCTAGTGGATTCAGACCTCTGGGTTTTACCATGCAGCAACATGGAAGAGACTGAATAGTTGAAAACACAGAGGCTGAGCACTTTAAAAAAAAAAGAAAAGAAAAAAGATCTTTATATTTAAAAAGCAAACAAAACAAATCTAAAACTAGATTGAAATTGTAGAACTCATAGGATATAATTACTTTTTAAAACCAAATAATAAAATACACATTACCTGAAAAGAATGATGAACTATAGTGAACTTTTATTAGTCACAATAAAGAGCCCAAGAGAATGGTAAAGTTTCTTAGAGTACTGAAAAGGTTCAGCAATCTAGAATATCCTTCCCAGTTATATTATCATTCAGGTGCAAAGGTGAAATGAGGATCATTTCAGACAAAGGCAAATAGAATGAACATCTCGAAGGTCCTGGGTGGAAAAAATCTCACTGAAGAATGTGCAATGATAATAGGAAATTAAACAATAAAGTTTAAATATATTTTGTATTCTTTTAATTTTATATAAAGTATGTGTTTTTTCATGTAAGGACAACTCTGGTTTTTTATTCAAAAATAATTTTATTCAAATTTTTCTTAGTTATAAAGATAGCTATTTTACTTTTGAAAATGTGTACTTTTGCCCCGAATTTTATTTTTTTAATTTTATTGGGGTAAGTAAAGAGTTTGGATGGGTGAGTTAGGATGAATAGATACATATTTAAAAAGTACTATATAGTCATGATAAATTACATTTGCTGTGACATGACTGCATTTTATTGGTCTCTAGTAATGTCACTGATATTGAGCACTTTGTCATATGTTCTTTGTCCAGTTCTAGATGTTTTAAGATATATTGTATTAGTGTGAAGAGTTGTCCTCCAGAACTTTATGACAATGGACATGTTCTCTAAGTGCATTCACTATACAATACAGTTAGATCTAGCCAGATGTAGCTATTAGTTTTTAAGATTTGGCTCATGTAACTTAGCAGCTTAATTTTTATTTTATTTAAATTGAGTCTTCTGTTTAAATCTCTTGTTCATTTTTCTATTGAGTGATCCTTTTTGGAATAAGTATAGGAGTTTTTTCTTGCCTTGTTTTAGTCTTATATACAAATTCTGTATAGATATAAGCATTGCAAATATCTTCTCCCATTTTTTGACTTACCATTTTACTTGTGCTGATGATGTCCCATGGACTGTCAGATGAACAAACAATTATGTCTTGGAGAAGGTACAGTCAGAATGCTCCTTGGAAGCAAAGGTGATGCATCTTATATATTATGGGGCATGTTTCTGGGAGAGTCTATTCACTCGAGAGGGACATCATCCTTGGGAAGATGGAGAAATGATGAAAGAGAGACTCTCAACCAGGCAGATTGACATAGTGATTGCAACAATGGGCTTAAGCATGTCAGAGATTGTGAAGATGGCACAAGATAGGATAGAGTTCAGATCTGTTGTTTGTAGGGTCACTATGAGTCATACTTGATGGAACCTAACAACAACAACAATGTCTGTTGATAAGGAAAATTCCTTCTATGGTTTAGCAATCTTTTATGGATAATTGCTTTTTGTGTAATGTGACTGTCCTATGGGTTTCAATATTTTTTTTATTTATATATTTTCTATAACAGCTAAATTAATAGAAATCTAGTATCTGAATATCACAATAAAATCTGTTCTTTTCATATTTAAATACCCTTCCAAAAAACTAAACCATGCCAACTGAGCATTCAGATTAGATTTTGCTTCTTTATTGGTAGTATGTTCATTTTGCTTTATTTTGGTCAGGTGAAAATGTGAAACCAGATGAATTTATGAATATAAAAAAGTCTCATGAAGTTCACGTAATGTCCGAGCTCATCGGCAGTGTTGCTGACTTTTGTGAAATAAAGCAGGTAAGAGTATTCTTCTGTATTTCCAGATATTAACATTTTGTCACTTTTTTTTGTCATTCAAATTCCATTTCTACTATCACTATCACTAACTCATAGCCAGTATTTAAACAACAGATACATAAGCATAAGCACATACTCTTATTTTCCTGTACATAGTCATTATAACAGTTTCATATTTAAAAAATATGTCTATCAAAAAAATTTTTGCCATAACAAAATTGACAGAAATTAAGGGTAGAAGTGTTATATGGTATGTTGTAACTCTAATTTGAGGCAACAATATGAAGAGGAGATTTTTTACAATTGTTTGCCACTGGATGTTCTTAGGATCTGGTATACCATGGTGTGGTCTGAGGCAAGTGCCTCTTTATAGTAAGTAACACAAAGAAATTTTATTTTAGGACCTGTATTCTATCGTAATCAAAATCTTAATTCATCCCTTTCATCAAAATAGGTTTCTTTGTGACAGGTAATGACGTGTGAAAATGTTGTTAAGTGCCATTGAGCAAGTACTACTCCCAGTGACCCTGTGACCATGACATCCTACCCCTGCCCTATCGTGGGCCATCCTCGTCATCTCTGCCACACTAGAGCCCATTGTTGCAGTCACTTTGTTGGTCCACCTCTTTAAGGGTCTTCCTCTCCTTTGCTGACCCTCCACTTTTGCAAGTTTGATATCTTTCTTTAAAAACTGGCCCCTCTTAACAACATGCCCAAAGTATGAAAATAGGTGTTAAAAAAAAGTGATTGGCCAAATTTACATATAAAAATAGTAACTTATTTTCCTTATACTTACATAACAGTAGAGGTAAAGGAGGTTTTTCACTTCTACAACTTTTGTTAGGTACCAGCCTCTCTTCTATGGACTCTTCCAGTCTGGTGGATAGTATTGAGAGTGATTAGAAAACTCATAGTTTGTGCCCAGCCTGAAGAATCATATGTGATAACATAAATCTCTAGAGTTGGAACTAGTTGAGGACCTAAGGCAGTTGTTACCAATCTTCCCTCTCCAGAATGCCATCTCTGACTCAGCTGTGAAACTTACGATAGCAATGATTCTTAGAACATATATATTGTAGGCTCCATTCAGCCACCAGCATGTCAAAATGCTGGGGCAACTTCTAGGTTTTTAAAATTATTCAAGTGATTCAGAAATAATCCTGCTAGAATTCATTAAGTCAGTAAAATAGTCTCCAGAGCAATGAATGGACAGTCTAGTTTAGAGTTAACAAGAGGCATGATGAGTTCTGGTGATTAAAACATCAGTTAATGTCAGGATTGGAGGTAGACTCATCAACAATCTGTGTTATGCAGATGACACAACTCTGCTTGCTGGAACTGAGGAGGACCTGAAGCACTTACTGCAGAGGGTAAAGGACTGCAGCTTTCAATATGGAATGAAGCTCAACATCAAGAAAACAAAGATTCCTACCACTGAGCTGATTGGCAGCATCATGATAGATGATGAAAAGATTGAGGTTATTGATAGCTTCAGTTTGCTTGGCTCCGCAATCAACACTCCTGGTACCAGCAGCCAGGAAATTAAAAGATGAATTGCACTGTGAAAGTCCACTGTCAGAGACCTCTCCAAGGAGGAGCAATGATGTCAGTCTGGAGATTTAAGGTGTGCCTTAAACAGGCCATGGTCTTTGAAGTTACTTGCTATGCATCAGAGAGCTAGACAATGATTAGGGATGATAGAAGGAGAGTTGATGCCTTTGACCTTTGGTGCTGGAGAAGAGTATTGAATATACAATGGACTGCTCGGAGAACAAACAGGTTCATCTTGGAGAGGGTGAAGCTAGGCTGCTCATTGGAGGCAAGGATTCTGAAGCTTCGTCTGACATACTTTGGACATGTTACAAGGCAGGACCAGTCCTTGGAGAAGGACGTCAAGCTTGGGAGGGTGGAGGGACAGTGCAGGGGAGGAAGACCTTTGATGAGATGGATCGATTCAGTCAGTGGGGATAGGGGGGTTAGAGACAATAAGATTGGCAAGGGATAGAGCAGAGTTTAGCGCTGTTTACATTGGGTTGCTATGAGTCACAAATAACTCGGTGGCACATAACAACAGCAATAACAGCAGGTACTCTGTAGAAGCCAAACATAAAATTCTGGTAAGTGGTAGTCAGGTGATCTGTTTGTGATGAGCAAGAACCTCAGTACACAGCACAACAATAGGATGAAGTATTAGTCCTGAGAGGAAGAATGGTCTAAATGAGGCAAAGCAGCAGAAACCACAAGGACTGGATTCAGATTTTGTGCGGAAATCGGATTCAGATTTTGTGCGGAAATCAAGAGCAAACACAGCCACTTAGTTTGATAATGGATGGAAGGAAAAACAAAAGAAATAAAAATCAGTTTAGGATTATAATTGATAGTTTTACTTTCTGACAGTAAATTGTACCACAGTGACTTCAGTAGCAGCATAGGAGTCTGGCATTCATGCCAAAGCCAACAAATGCCATATACACGAGGCTAACTGCACTGTTAAGTCCAACTAGACAGTTAACCAAGATTACTAGTATGTTCTCAACATCAGTTGTGATTATTTGGAGACTCTGACAGGATGGAGTGTATAAATTGGAAAGCATTAGTAACACAGATATGAGAAATCTAGGAAGGCAAGAATGGAATGAAGTGAAGAGTACTTTGTATATTCTAGGAAAGGATTTTCAGCATATGTTCTTTTGGAATTATTTTATAGTTTTTTTTCTTTCATCACAACTTTGACATTATTTATATTATCAGTGTATCAGATTAATTTATTCATTACATATTTTTGAGTCCCAGCCATCTAATAGCCAATGCTGTAGTTGTTGTTGTTGTTATTAGATGCCATCAAGTCAAGTATGACTGCTAGTGACCATATGAACAAAAGGTCTGAACCCAGTCCTGTCCTGCATCATCTTCACACTGACACACAGGAGCCCATTGAAACAGTCACTGTGTCAATCCACCTGGTTGAGGCTCTTCCTTTCCTTCGTTGACCCTCCACCCTTCCTAACATCATAACCCTCTCCAAGGAATAGCACCTCCTACCAATATGTCCAAAGTATGTGAAGTGAAGTCTTATCCTTCTTGTCTCCAAAGAGCACTCAAGCTACACTCTCTCCAAGACATATCTGTTCCTTCTCTTGGCCACTCACGGGATGATCAGTGCTCTTCTCTAACACCACAGCTAAAAGGCATCAATTTTTTTTCTGCCATCCTTATTCATTGGCAAGGTCTCGGCTGCATACCTAGTAATTGGAAAGACTATGGCCTAACTCAGACACACCTTAGTCCTCAAACTGACATCATTACTCCTCAATAATTTGGAACGGTCTCTAACTGCAGATTTTCCTAGTGCAATGTATCTCCTTATATTTCCTCACTGCTCCCTTGAATGAAAAACAGAAGAATGGTGTTGCACTCATAGTCAAAAAGTCAATTTCAAGTCTATACTGAAATTTGGAAGCAGGAGTGACATCCAGTCCCTAAACAACATGCCTCAGGAAACATGAATTTTGAGAAGTGATAGTTATTTAAAGGCTTCAGGTCTTTTGTTCGTAGGGTCACTATGGATTTTCCTCGACTTGATGGCAATCAACAACAACATCCTGAAGTACAGTGTTGTAAGTGATAGTATCTATACACATACAAGAAAGACTCATTAACATAACTGTTATTCAAGTATATGCTCCTACATCTAGTGACAACGAGGAAGAAATTGAGGCTCTTTACCAAATGGTGCAGTCTGAAATTGACCAAACATGCAATCAGGATGCATTAATGATAATTGGTGACTGGAATGCAAAATTGGGAAACAGTAAAAAAAGGAACAGTAGTTGGCAAATATGGGCTTAGTGATAGACATGAAGCTGGAAATAAAATGATTGCATTTTGTATTTACAATGATTTATTCATTACAAATAATTTTTCTAAAGGACAGAAAAGATTACATGTTGATTTCCTCTGATATGCTGCATAAGAGTCAGATTGACTACATTGTGGAAGAAATCATTGGAGAAGCTCAATATCAGCAGTCAAAACTAGACCAGGGGCAGACTGTGGGTCAGATCATTATTTACTCATATGCAAGTTCAAATTGAGGCTGAAGAAAATGAAAATAAGTCTACAGGAACCAAGATATTATCTTGAATCAATTCCATCTGAATTTCATGATCATCTTAAGAATAGGTTTGAGGCATTGAACACCAATGATAGGAGATCAGTATGTAATATTAGTGTATAATTTAAGAGTTACATCTTTTGGCAAGATAGATATGCATCAAGGATAATTATTGTTTTTGTGAGGTAAATAAATTAGCTTCCTTCCCCCAATAAAACAATGCATAGCTATACACACTCTAGAAAAAAGGGGGCTTATGTTCTGGTAAAGGCTTTTATCAGGAGGAGACGCCTGGGTTAAGTCAAGCTGAGGCTGCTGGAAATAATTCAAGTGGTCTCTGATTGCTGTAATCCTTTGTCTCTAGTTTGAACATATATAAATTCTCTGAAGAGATAAGCACCCTTAATTTAGTATTCTAGATTTACCAGAAAGTCAGATTAGCCAAACTTGACCTTCTAAACCAAGATCCCCAACATTACTAGGAAATATATTACCCTGAGTGAGAGTCCACAGGAGTGACAGAGGGGCAGCTGATTTAGATCTCAAGGATAATGCTCTTCATTTTACTGTATTTGTTCTAACTGTTTGAAGTACCTTAGTTCAGGAATTAGAAAGCATAACCAAGGTGCTCCTTAGAGGTAAGGATCATGAAACTTTATCTCGTGTACTTTGTAGATCTGGTCAGGACTGTCACATCCTTGGAAAGAGGCAATGTGCTGGGGGAGGTGAAGGATCCGAGAAGGACAGGAAGATTCTCCACAAGATGGATTGACACAGTGACTACAGCCATGGTCTCGAGCATATCAGCAATGATAATGGTGGTGTATGAAGCGGCAAAGCTCTGATCTGTTGTTCATGGGGTTATATTGAGTCTATGTGGAGTCCA